GTTTGCGGGTACCTGCTTTGGAAAACAGGTACCCGCAAACGGGTATTGGGTACCTGCTGACATCTCTAAGACACACCCATATTTCTCCTTTTCTTAGTGTTACACTCTTCCCATAACATTATATAGGAGTGCAGCCTTACAGCACCCTTGGTTATAACTTAAATTAGTACCATTGTAATTATACATATCCCCTCCAAGCTCTATCTCTTTGGTTGAGAAGTTGCACAACGTCAAGCCCGCGAGTAGAGATTTCAAAACAATCTGAAATGTGTATGAATAGAATGCAGGTGCCAGGTGTCTTGCCCTCCAGGATACTTTCTGAAATGCTCAAAATTATCCAAATCAATCCATCAAAAAATGGATCACTCAGGTGCATATGGCTTCAACAGATCTAATCAGTGTTAAACTCACACCAGCCAATCAGTAAATTTGTGACTGTCTTCTTTAAGGTCTCAATGATCTGTGGAAGCCAATAAAAGACCATCTAGTCTACTTGCCAAATCAAATCTCACCCAATGACGTAATTGGGGCCCCTGAGGAACCTGAAACTTTGACCTTGACCTTCTTAGAATTTCATAATGGACTCAATGCACTCTTCCACTGTTACTAAGCAGAAGACTCAATTGCAATGCTATACGTGCAATGAAAATGCCCAGGTTCACCACTTGAACAATTTCCCAAAGAAGAAGAAACCCTAGGCCTCTGCAAGCTCTGTCCAAGCCCATTGTAAAGCTCAAAAAAGTTTGTGAAACCTTTTTTCTGAGAGTTCATAACCTGTAGAGACAGACAAAATGAAGATGTGTCTAGTGAGAGTCGAACTCACAACCTCAGCTAAGCTGAGACACATACTAGAGTGCTGCCTTTACCAACTAGCACAGCCCGCAAGCGCGTGACAAAATTCAAATTTCGTCACGCTGACGTTTTGCATATTCATGTACAAGCCCGCGCGCCGGCCGGGTCGTCACCTGTCATGAATTTCGTCACCTCCGACAATCCACCCGCCTATTTCGTCAGCTGCATCAACTTGTCAAGTTGTCAGCTCATCTCGCCAAGCTGTTGTCAGTTGATCTCACCAACTGGTCAGCTGACTCATCAAAATTGTCAAGCATATGTACATGTAAATATGTAAATATTAAAAAAATTGAAATACAAGTAGCCTGCGCAAGGCCTTTTGCATCCACATCCGTGCATCCCTTGTCAAACATCATTTTTTCTAAGTTGGATGTACTCACCAGTCTAACTCAAATCCTCCTGTCTGGGTTTTGATACCTAAATATTCCAGCACATGATCACCGGGTCTGTTCTGTTGATTGTCATGATCATACATACCAACAAGAAGTATTGCATCATTTCTAGGCTACTTCTACATAATACATGTGGTTCGGTTCTTGCATATAAATAGGATGCCCATCCCACACTGCTGGTGTTTCGTCAGCTTACATCGAACATTTTAGTTGCATTCTGGTCCACAGCAGATACTGACAACCTTTGAACCGTAACAATGGCCTCTGCCACTGATATACAAAGCATAATATCTGCCGCCCTCCAGCAGCAATCTCAACAGTTAGAAGCTCAACTTGCGGCTCGGGATGAAGTTATCTCCAAGCTTATGGAGAAGGTAGAGCTTAAAGAAACAGAAGCTTCATCCGCCTCATCTCCAAAGCCGGATAAGGGGAAGTCGGCCGTGAGGAACACTCAACCAAAGAGTTCCCCAACCATCAAGCCCCAAGCAAGTACAAGTGGCAAAACCGGCTCGAAGTCCGCCACACCGACCAAGTCAAACCAGCTCACCCCTCGCCGGACCACATCTGGTAGCCAACCCAAACGCAACATCACTCCTGGCAACGGTTCCCCAAAAGTCAACCCGATGCAAATGATTTCGCGGAACATGCCCGAGTCATTTGCCCTCACCAGAGTAAGTCGTCACTCTTGCCTATCTCTTGTCATGAATCCGGCATACTTATCCATTCTTTCTCCAGGATGCTTTGTATGTTCACATAAAGCTCATATGGAATCTTCTGGAGCAAAAGACGATCCCAGGCCCCCCTCACCCCGAAACCATCAAGGAGTTTACATCCCGATTTTCGAATGCCGATGAGATTGAAAAAACGGCAAATGATCGGGCTGGTGAATCCCTCATTCCTGTGAAGGATGTTGTTACCTTCAAGGATCTCCAGCTTGGGAGAAAGAAGGTCGGCAAAGGGTTGGTAAACCTGGAGGAATTCTTTGTCAGCTATACGAAGGCCATTCTAGCTCGTCTTGGGATACGCATGTGGGCGCCAGACCTTGAAGATTTGCCGGACTCACTTTACAACGAAGCTTGCCGCCAAGCTGCCCTCAAATCCTTCCGCCAGGCCGCTGTTGGTGGTGCTTACGCCTACATGAACATCAATCCAAAGTACGCAACAGATCTCGGGCTTCTGATTCCTGCGTACAATCACTATGTCCACTTCTTGCAAAAAAACCGGTACAATCGAGAGAAGAACCAGAGCGGCAAGTTCCGGATGGACGAAGAGCGTAAAGTGATTGCAAAGGCAAGAGAGCGAGTGAGTAACACCCGTGGTAATTTTTTCCTAGTCAGCTTTGGTTGCTGATGTCTTGGTCTGCGTAGCTTCGAGACAGTCGATTGAAATTCGCGCTCGCCCAGAATCTCCCTAAGCGATATCAGAAGGTCATATCCGATGTCAACTGCCATAGCGATGACGAATACTGTCCGAAAAAGAGAGTTTATATCATCAAAACATTGAGGTTTCGGTCACCCAACGCCACCAAGTTCTTCCGCCGACTCGATGCCGCCATCCTGACATCTGATGAACTGGACGGTAAACGTGTGCAGCGTCGCAGACGAGTTGCTCCATCCACTCCGCACCCATCCCTTTTCACCAAGCCTCCGAAAGGTCAACCGTTAGATTTCTACAACGCCGAGTGGTTCAATGACTTGTTACCTCAACAACGCATGGAAATCGCTAACACCCGTGAAGTCGCGTTTTTGCCTGACGCCTCCCAATCGCTCATGGGGAAGAAGCTGGCTTCAGAAAAGCTATCTGACCGAAAGTTCACTCAGGAGTTCTTCGACCGACTCACGAAACCTTACGACCTCACCCATGAGATTGAAGAAAATGCCGATGAGGAAGAAACATCCGATGAAGAGGACGATCCCTCTTTTGACCCGGATGAAATCGATTTGACTCACTCTGCAAACGAGGAAGAAGAAGAGGAGGAGGAAACAGAAGGAGACCGTGACTTTGTTGATGACTCAATGGGCACTTCTGGTCACCTCGAAGAAGAGGAGGAAGACGTGGTCAGCAACGGCGACGAGGAAGAACTCGCACGTGAAGCCCGTTACAATGCAATGGTGCTTGACGAGGATGAGGAGCTCTAACCATTGATCCTCTCAGGTAATAGCTTTTCTCTTTATTTGTTTTGTTTTGGTTTCTTAAAGAAAGCCCAAAAAAAAATTGAAAACACCCAAAAAATAAAAAAAAAATTGAAAAATAAAAGCGCCAAAAAAATTGTACGGATATCTGTTTTCCTTTTGTTTTTCTTCTTTTTCTTGCTCATGTAACTCTGTAATGTTGCCTGGATGGAGGATATGTACAGTGGGTGGACTGTTATTTTTGGCTGCTTGTTTTGGATTCTACAACTTCAAAGCAGCAACTTCAAGTCACAAGACTTGGTGAATTGGTGCATAATAGGTCCCAAAGAATGAATATGAAAAAAATAAAAACAAAAAACAAAGTTTCAAAATTTGTGAAAAATAAAAATAAAAATGGTTTTTTCCAAAAGCTTTGTTATTGATTTTGGGGGAGTGGGAGTGCTGAGAGAAGGAAAGAGTGGAACATCACAAGAATGATTCTAAATGAAAAAAATTGGAACCAAAAAAGGTTGAGCCAGGTTGGTTGTTCAGATTGGGGTCAAAACAGTAAATTCTAGTGCTTTACTGCAATGTGAGCTGGTAAATGACCCACTCAACAGTTGTTTGAAGCCATCTGGTTACCATTTTTTCCAAAATTTTCATTTATAATCATTCTTCCCAGTTTCCATTCTTTCTTTCTGTCAGCACTCACACTTCCCTAAAATGAATATCAAAGCTTTTGGACAAAAACAATTTTATTGTTTATTTTTCACAAATTTTGAAACTTTGTTTTTTGTTTTTAATTATTCATATTCATTTTTAGAGACCTATTCTGCACCAATTGACCAAGTCTTGTGACTTCAATCTGGTGCTTTGAAGTGCTGGAATCCAAAACAAGCAGCCAAAAATAATGGTCCACCCACTGTACATTCCTTTTGTTTTTTGGAACGATCTTGTTTCTTTTTTTGAAAAGGAATTCAATAGTTAACCTCCTAAGCCCTTGCATCTTCGAGCACTCCCTCCCTGGGCCCAGATGACTTATAACACAAGCCCCTGGATGAGAGGGCCTGATTTAGCCAGGCTGGAATACCCACACTTTTGCCTCTTTTTGGTGACATTTGAGTTTGTGACACCTATTTATCTCACCTGATCTTTATTGCTCTCGATTTGTACATATTTAGGTGTTCTCAAGTCCCCAGAATAATTCCAGCTTGTAGTTGCAGATTGAACATGATGGCAGAGGGTGTCGTGACGTTCTGCATTATTACTCATCCAATCATTACTATTGTCTCTTGCTTCTGAATTGGCCGCCATCTATTCCTCTCCTCCTGGTAAGTTTACCGACCAAATCCCAAGCTGAAATACTCGCCTGCTATAGAACAGAATCGCCCTGGTTCATCTCAAAGACCCAATCAGCAAATTTCGCCTACTACCGTTAGTGCGTGAATTTCACCTGAGACTCAGATTCTCGTAAGTCACTCTCTTTGTTCTGCACCTTTGTCTAATCCTTCCTGATACTGATTCAAGCATTATGATCTGGCGCTAAGAAAGATAACTGCTACTCATGGCTCTCAATCTCAAGCATCTAACGGTCGAATAGACAATCTTCCTACAAAGTCAATCGATCCGGAACCCGAGAGCATCGATGACGACGAAAAGTACGGTAGTGTCAGTCATAAGCGACCTGAACGCTCCCAACTTGTAGAGTGCACCTCCCCGGCGGGAGGAGGGGAGCTAGAAGAGGAAAGAGAGAAGAGCAACCAACAGATAGTCATTTCGGCACAGACGGCGGGCAGCCTGGCGGGGATCAAGACGGAGGTGGTGGAGACGATCCGGAAGGTGGTGGCGGTGGTGTCGAAGTATGCCGGCGTGGGCTTGCCCGAGCCGGCCAAGCAGTTCGTCCGGTTCGTCCGGACCAGCATCCTCGGCCTGCCTCTCCGTTGGGCAGAGGCTATCCAGCCCTCTACCCCTACTGCTGCCTCTACATCCATTCCCTCTGGCTACCCGGCTGGCCCCGTCGACAGGATCTCGAACCCCAAGACCGCAACCCTCCTCGCGGCTGGAAGGGTGCTCACCTTTGCCGTCGAAAGCCTCGACATGCTCAAGTCTATTACCGCTATCTTCTCCGAAAGCGTCGAGCGGGCTGATGCGTCAGTCTCTCTCTTTTTATATTGGATTAAGAATGAGGTTGACATTTTTTTTATTTCTACTTTGTAGTTGGGTTGAGCGACTACGATTGATTGGGATCCAGCATCGACACGGGCAGGCAAAGAACAAGCGAGACGGACGGGTTGTATTGCAGGGGGAGCTTGGCCTCGAGGGACGGGAGGGCTCGATGATTGGGATAGCAGGAGGAGGCGGAGGCGGGATGGGACGGGTGTCGAGGATGGAAGTGGATTCGAGCGAGGGATGCGGCGCGATTGGTGGGCCGAGCAGCGAGACCGGTTGAGGGACGACCCAAGGCGGGCTGGTCCGGAGCCGGTGTTCGTCGACCTCGACGATGGACGAGAGCGCGCGGAGCTTGAGTTCGAGCATGATGAGCGGATGGGAACGCTCCACCGTCGGCTCGGCCAACACCTCTTCGTCGACCACTCTGGCCGGTGGCACAGCCGGATCCTCCTCTTGTTGCGCTCTCCCCTTCTCCGTGAACGGAGTCATCAAGACCCCGGCCTCAAACTAAGTGAGTTTGCACCTTGTCAATCTTTTTTTTTTTCGTTTTCGCGCTTGTTGACCGTCGTCTCTTCCGGTTTCGAAAGCCGATTTCGGCTTCTGTGCCCAGATCAACGAGGGCAATGCTAAGCGGACCACCATGGTCGGCACACCCTACTGGATGGCCCCGGAGGTAGTCACGCGCAAGGAGTATGGACCGAAGGTGGACATCTGGTCCTTAGGGATCATGTGTATCGAGATGGTCGAGGGCGAACCGCCATGTAAGGTTCTCTCTCTTTTCCACCAATGGGACACCCAAGCTCGATGAGACCAAGTATTCGAGCCTCTTGCTCGACTTCCTCGGCTTCGCGTTGGAAGTCCAGGTGGACTGCAGACCCGATTCGGTCGGCCTCCTCAATCATAAATTTATCACCCACCATTGCGCACCTACGTCGAATAATAAAAACAACAAGTTGGACCATCTATTGTCGCTCGGGCACCTACGTCGAATAATAATCCCCCTCCTCCTCAGCCCACGTTTCCGTTGGGCTCTTCCCTTCCACAGATCTTGCGCGAGGCTATACTCCCCCTCCTCCTCAGCCCACGTTTCCGTTGGGCTCTTCCCTTCCACAGATCTTGCGCGATGATCATCATCTCTTCATTCATCCTCTGCAGCAACAGCAGCAACAGCAACAGCAACAGCAGCAGCAGCCTAGGCTCCTTAATCCATCGTGTCCTTCCCCGTCTAGTTCTTTGCATAAACTGCTCCTCGATCAGGACCAGGTCTCCGCTTTTGACCTTGTCCATCGATGGGCTCATGTCGATCACCTCGCCCCTCCTCCTCCTCCTCATAATCCTCACAATCTATACCCCTCACTTTCCTCGTCATCTTCAACATCATCATGTACTCGCTGAGCACGATGGTCCTGAGAATCAATCCCGAACACGTGACAGCTTGGTCATTTCAAAGACACTGTCTGCTTACTCTTTGCTCTGAAGTAGACTCCAATCGAGCCAGCCAGTGCTATGAAAGCGCGCTTCAGGATGAACTACCTCTGACGCTGGCATCTTTTCAGCGCAATCCGAAGGCCTGTCCAATCTGGGAGCACCAGAAGTGGGTTCTGGGCCAGATGAATGAGGCGGACTGGCAGGCTGAAATAGCCCTACTTGAGAAGCTGTTCAAGCTTAACGGACGAAACTGTAAGCGACCTGGGTGACGCTCTAAATTTCCACCAACTAAGAACGTGTTGGGCTGATCATACTCCCGTATCCTCTTCACCACAGCTCATGCCTGGGATTATCGGCGCTATGTGATATCCATAATCAAACAGAGTCAGCCGTTGGAGACCCTTGATGCCGACGTACTGGTGTTCAGCAGACAGCAGATTGAGGCCAACTTTTCAAACTTTTCTGCCTGGCACTATCGCTCTAAACTCTTACAATCCCGACTGAATCAATATAATCATACCGATGATAATGATGACAGTCAGGATCGGAAGGAGAAAGAAGAGATCTTGGCTACCGAGTTAGAATGGGTTTGTGAGGCGCCTTGGATTGACCCCAATGACCAGAGCGCATGGCTGTTCCATCGCTGGCTGCTGAGTCAAAGTTAGTCAGTCCTTCACACTCAAGAAAATCTTCGAAAGGGAAGCCAAGCTGTCGTTTCTATGGATGATGTCAAATTGTCATTGCAGCGCGAGACAAGCAGATCCAGGCGGCCGAGTACGCTTTGATCGTTGAGCTGCTCGAAGTCGAACCCAATGCTAAATGGGCCATCGCCGCTCTCATCCGGGCTCGACCCGTAGAGTATGCCCATCTACTCGACCGTCTCATCGCGCTCGACCCCCTCCGCAGACAAAGGTATCTCGACCTTGCCAATCCCACCGCCGAGCTGGATTGACATTTGTGATTTTTTTGGTGTACGGGCCGGTATCTTGGAATCACATAGTCTCTCCAAGTTTCTTTTCCTGGTTTTTGTATTCTTTCATATTTTTGTTCCATGCTTTCACTTGAGCTGTAAACACATGATGCGCAAACCATTCCATCACTCAATTTGCTTGGTTTTTATTGTTCAGCACCACTGGTAAAAAAATGGATTGACATTGTCCCCAATAAAATTGCCTTGATTGGCTGTCTGATAACTAAGTCTCACTAGAATTTCCCTCATTGATACCAACAAGCTTGAATACGTATGTACTTGTTGGAGGGATTTCAAGCTCTAAAAATTCAAGGCTAACCAATTTTTTTCCAAAAGTGATCCGACAAGCTACTCAACATGTCTAAAGTTGCGAGAGGTTATCTGGTAGAGACAAATTATTATTTGATGGAGAGTATCATTTTTCAGATTTTCTGGAATCATTTTCTTAGTGAATGACTCCCACTGTCAAATCCAAACCAAAACCAATCACTAGATTCAAAAAACAAATGAACTCCCTCCTTGGAGTGGAACTTGGATAGTCCCAAGTCTAATTGTCATATATGAGCAGTCTTGTTGAGTGCACCAGGAGCAATGCAGGGATGCATAACATAGAGGAAGCATGAACGTCCACTATGCCTTAATGTAAATAGTTTCTGGTAAGGGGAAGAAACTGGAAGAAAATTGTGCGAGAGGATAAAAATTGTGATAACATCAACAGTTACAGGGCGGCACAGCCGCCACTAAACCCTAGTTGAAAAATAAGTGTGTTTGTACATACAAACTAAGAGTAGGATTGGAGCTGGATTGGAGCTGGAATCAAAGTTGCATGATGTCACTTGACATCAGGTGACTATTGTTTTTTCCTGGTGACTTGGGGTGTAGTTCTTTGTGCAGTTCAAATGGCCCTCAAAAAAAAAAGACGGTCATAGGATCACCATCATAATTTGTGGGACAGTTAAATAAACAAAGTGTTGATTTCAAATTCACCAAGTATCAATTTTTAAATATCCTGTTGTACAACTAAAAAGCACGCAGATTGACACGGAGTATCTATTTTGTAGACAAGGGAAACAACAGGGGGGACAAATCATGTGGCATTTGTCTCAAAGCAACTAGAGGGAGATGACACCTAAATGTCCAAGCTGGCAGGTGTCTATAAGCACAGACTGCCACCAATTCACCCGGGTCCACGAGATTATAGCCAGACCCTTCTAGTACAATTTTGAGCTGTAAATCATTCAGGGTGTGTAGGAAGTTCTCACTAACATCCACCACATCCCCCGTGCATGCATCTCGAAGTGCCTTGACTGCCACCACAATCCTCCCATCGAATTCGGGTAAGCTGTAGATATGTGTGATCCACCCATGTTGAGTTGAGCCATTCTTCCGAAAAGCTACCAACCGGTTCTGTTTTGTTTTGCTGACATACAGGCCGCTTTGAGTTTCGAGTGCGTCAAGTTCATTTACATATGGAGTGAGGACACGAGATCCATCGGGGTGAGGAATGTGTTGATAGTGTCGCAATTCGGGATTGCTCTCTTGGAGCTTTTGAAGCATGGCCGCATACACCTCAGGATGAACTTGGACCAATCTCGCGTGGTTGGATCTGGACTTGTGGTCTTTGGCGGGTTCGGAGTTCGAATCATTGTCATCAATTTTCAGCGACCATCTTGCAGCTTGGGCATTGAGCCTTTGCGTTTGACAGAATTCACGCAAGACAGTTCCTTCGATTTGACCTGATCATAAATGGACGAGTCAGTTTTTGTTCAACGTGATCTGTTTTCAGGTTGTGTTGACCCACCAATGATACCATTAGTCTTCATTTTTTGAAGTATACCGTTGACCCTTTCCCCAGAGAATTCAGACACATTCGAGAGAGGTCCCCACCACTTCATTTGAGCAGGCAGGTGGAGCGCATAATGGTGGTTTGGGACAATCTTGGGTGAATCAAAAACCAGCTTTGATGTTTCAGTATAGAGAAAATAAGCCTCCGCAAATTTGTCCGCATCGGCATCGGTAATTGATTTCAAGGCCACGATGTTAGTGCACATCACAATTGATGAAAAATTGAGCAGGCTATTTTGATTGTCGCCGGTCGCACACTTTGCTGGATGGTCGAAAAAGAAAGTAATGAGGCTGAGTGGTAGGTAGGTTGAAAAAAGTGAATGCCATTCGCTTGCTTTGAGTTTTCCATGCTTCGGATCTCCCAAGTTTGGAGGGACTTGAGTTACACCGCGAGGGATGACAATATCGATCAAAGATTTTCGAATATGGGCGAGTGCGTTGTCATGGAACTGAAGGCTTTTTTCGGAGCTGCTTGATTCATCATCCTCCCAATCATCGAGATGGTCGTCGTGAGTAACATGCTTGGGTGGGTCTGGGTCAAATGCCCAGCGCACACGCCAATGATGTTGTAAGACACCTTCGTACCAGTTGTGCATGATACCTAATGCCACATTTCGTACAGGATCCCAGTAAGGTAAGCGGTTGAGTTCCGACCAACGAGTGCCGTTCAATTTTAGCCACTTTTTTTGTTCAGCAAGCGTGTCGCTATCCCTCCACCTAATCGCTTGTAATCGTGTTTCTCGGCGATTTCGTTTTCGACCAACCTGCATTTGTGACATGTTTTCTTTTCGACATTTGCACCATGAGCAAAAGAGAGTAGCCGCATGAGAAGCGAACCCGGCAATCTTGTGTGTAGCAACTATATCGCCAACTAAGGCGCCGAGGTGGACTGATAGTCTTCGACCATTGGGAAATTGAGGAGTTTCCACAAAGGTGCCAGTGTTGAGTAGAAGCAACTCATCAACAAGGGGGGCCAGAATATGGGAAATGGTGGTCATGTCGGGTTCTTTGGGGGCAGGAATCATACCGGCGATGAATATGTTATTGTGTTTATTTCGACTGTGTGGGGGAAGATCCAGACAAGTAAGGGCTATGACACCCATCGAAGCATGTCGTCCAGCAAGCTTATTACCAAATGGATTGAACCAATCAATGAACACCGAAAACGTAAGGCGAAGCTCGTTGCCCGATGGCACTCGTTCGTTCCTGAGTTGAAAACCTTGCCAAGCTTTGGACTGTTGAATATCAACGATTCGTTTTTCGGTGGATGATTGGACTTGCTGTTGCCAGGAAAAGATCTCATCTTCGATGCCAGGAATGTTCAAAAACCACTTGAGCCAAGAATCGAACTTCTGAGTATGGTACATCAGGCGGGGAGTGAATGGCTTGAAAGTAGGCGAGGAAGGTGGCTTGGCATGTGAGACGGGTTGGTACCGAGGTAAGAGTTTATCTTGATTCGATTTGAAAAGACCTTCGCCACAAACTTGAGCTTTCTTGGATTTTTGATAAGAGCAGTTGGATGGTGCGTCTTCAGGTTTGTAGAGGCTAAAGCACTTAGGGCAACATATACTACTCTCGAGTTTGGGATCTAACCCAAGATGCTTCGTAATCGTTCGCCCATCTTTATAGCTTTTTAGATATCCGTTACGATCTTGAGGTAATTTTCGGAAAATCTTGATAATGAAGACAATCCAATCTCGTGCAATTTGACAGTGGTTTTGACTAACGCCACAGATCAAGCTGAGCCATGTAATAAAATAATATATGTATCCTATCAAACAGTGGTAGGGATGCTGTTGTTAGCATTGGTAAGACCTTTGAAGAACAAGACAAAACTGAAAAACTCACGGATACATTCAGGCTCTATGATCATTTCTTCTGTTTCGGATTCTGAGTTGCTGATTTGTGAAGTCTCAGGAGGAGCAGAGTCGGATGGAAGTGCTGTGTTTAATTCATTGAGATTATCCAGAGGGGTAGTCGTTTGTGCCCAATGCCTTCGACGGGTGCTTGGGTGGACCCAACAGCCTTGAGTTGTTTCGCCATTGGGATTCGTGATGGTTTGTTGAATGCATGTGTCACAGGTACATATTTGGAGACTCATGTTGAAGTGTTGTTTTGAGGGTAGTAGCTATGGCGGCGTGGACTGAGGGTTGAAAGCGGCAGCTGACGAAATAGGCGGGTGGATTGTCGGAGGTGACGAAATTCATGACAGGTGACGACCTGGCCGGCGCGCGGGCTTGTACATGAATATGCAAAACGTCAGCGTGACGAAATTTGAATTTCGTCACGCGCTTGCGGGCTGTGTAGGCTACAGACGCTTGTGATGGGTTGTTGGGTGGTAGTGTACATGGTTCGACATGTAGTGATACATCATGGTAGCAGACTATCCGACACCTCAACAGAATGAAGTGAGTAAATAAAGAAAAGAAAGAGACTAACCTGGGTCAACAGTGTTGGAAAGTATGAAGAAAGAGGAATCCTTTCCAACACTGCTGACTTCAGTATATGAAAAAAGAAAAACACAATGAGTGTCACAGAGTGTGACATTTGAGGAACAAAAAGAGAAAGAAGCAGAATAACAACCGTAGCTATTGCCAGCCTTGGAGCCCTGGCCAAAAAACAGCTTTGACCATCTTTTTCCTACTACAATATCATTGTAACTTTTTACTTGTTGTGGAACTACTCTTGGGAGGAATAGAGCTTGAGAGGGAATGATGCTTTAATGGGCTGCCTCTCTGGTAACTACAAGGAGTAAGGTAACAAGAAAATATGAGAGTATGGACTCTTAAGGAAAGGGGTGGCTTTGGAGATTTCTTGAGTATGGTATGTCTAATATGTCTTATGTTTACTAGTCTAAATATACTGGTTCAAAAATCAAGGTATCCCAAATATTGATGGGCATATACCTGGCTAATAATGTGTGATCAGTTATCTGTATTGCTGGGGCAGGATCTGATGAGAAACAAATGAAGAGAAAAACAAAGCTCCTTATATACCAAATTCTGGGGAGTGGCCAGCTTGTGGTTGGAAGATATGTGCAGCATTCTATGAGAGCATGAAACAAGAGAGAATATATTTTTTCATAGAAACAGGAAAAACAAGCAGTGGGAAAATGCTCCCAAGGTTACTAGCAACGG